GAGAGATCGCTAAATTCGATCGCACCATCGGATTGTGTCATAGATTTTTAAACCAGCTGTGTGAACCTAAATAAATGTAAATAAACATTCGGACTGCCGATGGTTTGTAGTTTTGCTTTTGGCTTACCATACATTATTCTGTTTGTTTAGTTCTGATAATTTGAAGATCTCGCATTACTGAAATTAGCGTTCCCTTATTTATACTCCAAATACGACTTTGCTTTCACTTTTAGTGGACATAAATCTTAAATAGAAAAGGTTGCTGAAAAGCTGATAAGTTTCTTTATTCTCCCTAGTGGTGTTATCATCAAAGTATTGATGTTGTAAAGAGAAGTGTGATCTTGATATGCTTATATGAAATAATCCCCCTTGAGCACTCCAGATCGATGTGATTTGTTTACTTTTTTCGTTCATGCTTCAATAAAGTTACTGTCACAATGAACTGCCCAAGATATATGAAAGCTTTCTGGTAATTTTTTTTCTCTCATTTATTTCCAGGAATACCTCTTCACAATGAACACCACAGATTTTGGTAGGCCCATGTCTTCTCCAGCTAAAACAGTTGGCTCAAAAATATTTCTGGAGGCTTGTAAGGGACTTAGTCCTTTTGGCTTTTTCAATGAGAGACAGTGCAAAAAAGGAGCATATAAACAAATAGAAGAGATGCTTAAACAATATGGGCTGATGGATGATGATATTTATCTGGACAGAAACTCCAGGAATTTTATTTCAGCGGAAGCCTTTATTTTGACTGTAATTGCTGGGAACAAACTTAAAGACCCTGGCCAAAGTGCAGAACAATTTTCATGGGCTAGTCTATGCTTGTTCTTTGCCCGAACCGTGGTAAATTCCACTTTTTCAAGAGAAATTGCTGCTGGAAGTGTAACTGGATCTATGACTACAAGCAACACACAAATTGTAATACCGGCAACAGAAACCTTTTCCACACAAGGAAATTGCACTAATGTACCACAGCCTAAAGTGTTCACTGGCTGTATCAAGCCCCCAGAGTCAACATCAGCTCTGGCTGGACGTTTACCAGGTGGACAAACATTGTGATCTACTAAACTGGAGGAGAGGGTAAAAAAGCAGAGCAAAATATTGAGTGACTTGGCACTGGAAGTTAATTATGGTTCTAAGGTTTGCAAAATTTCTATGTAAATGTTTGTTGTTTTGTACATGCAGGCCGCTCACCCAGTTTAATTTGTTCCACTGTACACTATGTTACTAGTACACACATGGTTTTCCTGAAAATATTTTGATCCTTATTATAGGTACAATTGGGTGAATTTAGGGAGTTTTATCAATGTAGTTGTCAAGGCCTTATGTGCCATGAGGCACAAAGAAGCTAAGTGAAGTGAAGTTGTCGAAGTAATTTCAAATGTTCTACTAATGTGTGTGACATTGAAAAATAATATTTTGATGTTTCTCTGAAATTGTTGGTAGTAAATCAAGAACAGATTAAAATTTAGAAAATAAACAGGACCAGATTGTTGATGGAATACAATTTTGGCATATTCTTATTACAGATTGACTTCCTCCATGGCATGTCATTATCAGTGGGCCGGAGATTTAGACAGCAGTGCAGTAGTGACTCAGTCTGGCAAGGACAACTGTAAAAACAAGATATTATCTTGTTGACTAAGCTAATTCGTACAAAGGCCGGGGGCAGTCTTTACAATCAGATTGCAGAAGAGCAGGCAACAGTGCAACTCCCACCATCAGCAATCTTGAAACTTCAAGATCAATGCAATTCTGGGCAAACAATTGATGAGATCAGGAAGATATTGCCACCTGGATATCTTGCAACCAAAAGAAAGGTAATTGTCTTTCAATTATATGTGTCTTTCCTGATATACTTCAAATTATCTGCATAGGGTCTTCTATTTATAAGATCAGGGTAAACACACAGAAAACATTTTACAAAGTTCGAACATAAACAAATTGAACTTTGGTTTGGATCAAAAGATTGCAGAATTCCGCACAATTCCACATACAATCGAAGTTTTTTCCCACACAATTTGCCTCCCAAATTTTGCACTACACTGTAGTGATTTTCTCCCTGCATCCTATTATTCTATTAAAAAGGCAAACTTGGTGATCAGACTTTAATTCAAGTAAGGAAAGTCTTATCATTATAAATTTGGACACACATTTTGCCCAGTGTAAGAAACAAGTCACATGTATGGTTTACTTTCATTTTGAAAACAGTGTTTCGGTAAAGTGTAGAATATATCAATACTGATATGGCAATCAAAATGCTTACAGCATCCACTAGAAGGGATTTTCACTTTGTGAGCAATGCATGAAAAATCTCTCTTTGGGCTGGCCAATAATTAAATAAAATT